AGCCACCTTTGTCTCCCCAGCTCCAACGCTTACGCATCGGAACAGGGTGCTCTGTGTAAGGCTGTAGGGATATTCAGGAGGGCCCAGGACTGGCTCATAAAGTCTCAACTGATGATAGCCATTTCGCACCTCCGATTAGCACGGTTGGCTACGTAGCGTGCGAAAGAAGTTCAACATACGTACATCCGTGGCTGGGAATCGAATCGGTCACCCCAGGGTGTGTAGCACTACCGCTCCTTAATAATACAATATCACAATCTCGAGCAGAGTATTTATCCTGGAAAAATCCGATCTTTTACCGATGTCCAGTAATAATGATGACGATGAACGTAATGCAAATTATTTATTTAGGAAAGCCCTTGGTGGGTCTCAAGACTCCGTTTGAGGAGGGTTGCTGCCACGTCGGGGATGTTTGGCCAATTTCAGTAATGAGAGTTTGGGGCTTCTTGTGCGAGGAAACAGAAGAACCCGGAGAAAGCTCGTGCGTGCACTCAACACTTGCTTCTTACTGGCCGCACCTTCCTATCGCACCATCGCTCCCCATATATACACGGACACACGCATGCACGCGCACACATACATACATACAAAGACAAAAGTCCCCCCGTATAGCCTTAACAGACTGTTGGGGCAAGTGCCGTTAGCGAGCAGCACCTATAAAGGCCGGCATGGCACACGAGGGGGTGTGGCGACCAGCACCACGCCCGGCCACCTTTGTCTCCCCAGTGGCGATGTTTACACACCGCACCGGGTACTCATTTGAGGCTGAGTAGACCTTGGGGGAGGCCCAGGACCAGTTCCGATAATCGTCACTGGTGTTGGGCGTGAACAGGAATCGAACTCGCATCACAGCGCACCAAACGCTACACTACCGCTCCTCCATCACACACGCACACATCCACAGAGACACACACGTACACAGATAAACAAAGTCAGTTCATCCGAGTACATCTGATAATGCGGTATTTTATGAGCATTTGCACCTTATCATGCGGGACAGATTGCTTCTAACCGAATCGCAGTCCTAATTGCTTCGCATGCTATGCCCAAGTGAAAAGCCACTTCATGATTACACTCACGATTACCTGACACCTTTAAGCGCGTCCGAAATGTACGTTCGACATCCTGCGACTGGCCGCCCACCCCACTACCCCCCCCCCCCCCCCCCCATAAAAGCTGGAATGTCAGGGTCAAGGTGCACTCGCATGTGCAAAAGAGGACCACACACAGCAAAGACAAAGGCCCACCGTATACCCTTTAGCGGACCGTCGGGGCAAGTGCTGTTCGCGAGCACCTACAAAAAAATCCGGCGAGGCACGTGGGGGGGAGGTGACCAGCACCACGCCCGGCCGCCTTTGTCGTCTCCCTCGTGACGATTATCCCACGTCGCACCAGGTACTCGTTTAACGCAGAGTCGACCTAGGGGGCAGGGGGGGGGCCGGGGGCCCCCCCCTGTGGCAGGTTCGGGCAAGTCATCGCCCGTGCTGGGCGCGAGCGGGGATTGAACTCGGGTCGCCGGCGTCGTAGCGCAGGGCGCCGACCGCTGAGCCACCGCACGCGCGCGGTCCACGCCCCGAGAGACGCGGACACGCGGGAGGGACGCCGGGATTTGCGTTCCTGAAGGAATCTTCCGGCGCGATTCAGCTCAAGTGGAACTTGGAGAGGACAAGAGTCTCCTTTGCAGCAGTGACCTCTGGGGGCGTTAGTCTGCCGTTAGGGGGCGGGGGGGGGGGGGCGATGATCGAGTTGTGGGCTCACATCCCAATTCCGCTTCTGCGATCGCCGTTGACACCATCAAGAACTCGGATCCGCAAAGAATCATTGTTGAACAGAGTGGAACACAGCGGACGTCCAGAATAAACTCCTCGTTCAAGACCGAAACATCGTTGCACATCCTGGATTTGATGTTCAACCTCCTCCTCGAAGACACTGGTGGAACGATGGACCGCATCATCAGTACCACCGATAGGCCGGTGCGCCACATATCCTTCACGGATGGGAAAACTCAAGACACAAGCCGCACCTGCTGTGACTGTGGCCATGCAACCCAGACTATGAACCGCTGAAGCCCTCCTGTCGTCGCGGCGGCAGCAGCAGCAGCAGCAACAGCAGTAGCAGACCTCGCCATTGGCATCGCGAGCCCCTCAACGCGTATAAATCGCGCGCAAGAACAGAACGGCGAAAGGGGAAGCGAAGCGTCGGCCGTGGTGCCGAACAACACGGGAGTGATGCGACTTGAAAGGCCGCGTGCCGGAGAGGGAGGGAGAGGGCTAAACGGCACAACCACGAAAAACACAAACGCAGTTGTGTTCTAACAGGGACTGCGTCACGCGGCCCCAAATCGCGCACCTTCACCGCTCGGCATTCGCCCGCGAGAGAGCCCAGTGGGTGAGAGGTGCAAAGTGCCAGACACCGCAGGACATCAAGGAACATCTGACAGATTCAAATTGTTCCGGCAAGCGGGTCACGGAACACGCAGGCCACCGTTGTCATCGCTAAACCCGGCCACAATGGGCCACGCTGTGTTTCAGGCCCAGAGGTCACTTGTGCCAATGGCCCCAGCAGGCTTATACGCCAGCCCCGCAGCCCCCCGTGGGTCACTGGGCCCACCCCGTCTCCCCCCCCCCCACCCCCCCCCCCTCGGTGCTAAAAGAACTGAGCATTTGGTGCTCATCTCCCGTTTGTTTACAGGTCTGGAGATCCACTTTCCCACATAGCGACTGGTGGCCTGAGTCAACCCCTCCCCCCCCCCCCCCCCACGAGCCAAGATTTGAACTTACGACTTTCTGATTGCGAGCCGCTGGCTCTGCCGCTCGAGTCGCCTGGCCGGCCGGTGTTACCCAAGCAAAGAGCCTCTTTACGGTGATATTGGACTGTACTCATGATAATCTACACTTTTAACAAGTGCCTGAAATGCACGTCCGAAACTGTGGAACTGTCCACCCATAAAATCTAGTGCGTCTGGGTCAAGGTGCATCAACGCTACATCCCAACGTGTCGCAGGGTTCCCCCCCCCCCCGTGTTGCGTTACCGGGGTCCCAGTGTGTGTGACCAGGGTTCCTGTGCGTGTGACCAGGATCCCCGAACACATTCCCGGGGTTCACCGTGCGTGTGACAGGGATCTCCCGTGCGTTACCGGGGTCCCCACGTGTCTCCGGCACTCCGCGTTTCGACAAACGGGGGCCCAGCTTTTCTCACTTTGGTCAACGACTTGACGTTCGTTCTCGTCGAGACTGTCACTCATTGCGTTTCGCGACGAAAAACGTCACCGCCGTCTCCGTCCGTCACCGATCGTTGTGGGCAGGTCGCCAGGGGCGGATGATGGCGTTGTGGCCGTCGAGCCGTCCGGGTGGGAAGTCTGGGCCGTCGGACTCTAACCCGCGTCCTACATCTCGCGAGACCTTATCAGCGAGCGGTGAACTTGAGCCTTTAAATACATCTGTGCCCTTGTGCGTGTGCACCCCCAGTTTGTGTACCCCAGAGCACGTACACCCGTGGTGTGTGCGCACCCCAGAGCGTGCGCGCGCCCCAAAGCGTGCACACCAGAGTGTGTCTCTACATCTCGCGAGACCTTATCAGCTAGTAAACTAGATCGTGTGTACACCACAGCGTGTGTACACCACAGCGTGTGCACACCACAGCGTGTACACCCCCAGTTTGCGTTAGTTTAGCGGGTTAGCGAGCGGCACGACCCGCTCACGGCCAAACACCAGTTGACGATTATCTGAACTGGTGCTGGGCCTCAGCCTCAAATGAGTACCTGGTGCGGTGTGTAAACATCGCCACTGGGGAGACAAAGGTGGCCGGGTGGCGACCCACCCCCTCCTGTGCTGTGCCGGCCTTCATATGTGCTCGCGAGCAGCACTTGCCCCAACAGTATTACAGACTCTACGGGTGATCTTTGTCTTTTGTCCCTTTCTATATGTGCTTGTCTCGTGTGTACACGTGTACATTTGTGTGTGTGTGTAGGTGGAGTGGTGGTGCAGTGGTTTGCGCACTGCGCTACGAACCCAGCAACCCGAGTTCGATTCCCGCTTTTATCACTAATATCGGTGACCTATATCTTGACACCGGTTATGGGCCTCCCCTAAGTCGACTCAGCCTCAAACGAGCACTCGGTGCAATGTATAAACGAGGCTAAGGCGGCCGGGCGTGGTCCTAGTCCCGCCCGACCCCCTAGCGTGCCATGTTGGCCTTCGTAGGTGCTGCTCGCTAACAGCACTTGCCCCAGCAGCTGGAGAAGGCTATACGGGTGATCTCTATGTTCCGTGTGTTTGATTGTGTACGTGTGTGAATGGCAGTGGGGAACGGTAGTGTAACGGTTAGCGCTACGCTGCGCTACGAACCTGGCGACCCGAGATCGATTCCAGCTCACGGCCAACACCAGTGACGATTGTCTGAACTGGTCCCGCGTTTCCCCTAGGTCGACTCAGCCTCGAATTAATACCTGGTGCAGTGCGTAACACATCGCCACTCGGGAGACAAAGGCGGCCCGGCGTGGTGCTGGCCACCCACCCCCTCGTGTGCTGTGCAGGGCTTCAAAGGTGCTCGCTAACAGCACTTGTCTCAACAGTCTGTTAAAGGCTGCACGAGGGATCTTTGTCTTTGTCAGATGGTGCCCCAGCACGAGGGGCTTGTTTTGGTGGAAGGCCTACCCTGGTTGTCCACGTCATGTGGCTTTCTAAATTGTTGTTTCAGGAGTAGCCCGGTACAGAGCACAAACCGCGACGTAGGGACGAGTTTAGAGAAGGCAGCAGAGTGGGCTCGCTGCCACGCTCAGTTGGGACTGCCAGCAGTGTGTATGTGGTTTTTTTTTATATGGGGAAGCGGAAGGTGAGGGAAGAAGTTAAGAAAGTGGAGGGAGCGAGGGGGGGGGGAAGGGGGGGGTTAGATCATTGCATGTCCCTTAAACGTAGAAGACTACCGTGCAGTCTGATCTAATATTATTCTGACGTGTGTGTGTGCGTGTCTGCGTGTGCGTCCGTGTGCCGGGTTCCTAGGAGTTCTACGTCCACGCCAAGGCACTGTGGGAGGACGACGGGGTCAAGGCCTGCTTCGAGCGCTCCAACGAGTACCAGCTCATCGACTGCGCAAAGTAGTGAGTGCGCCCTCCTCGCCCTCTCGCCCGCACACACTCGCCGCTCGGCCCTTGCTCGCCCGCGCGCGCCGGTCGGCCCTTGGCCGCCGTCGCCTGCACACGCTCGAATCTCGACCCGGCAATTATCTCGTGCGAGCGAGCTGCCACAACGGAGTGACAGCCGGCACGCTCCTGGACTCGCGATCCGATCTAGAGGTCGCCGATTCCGGCGACGCAGCGAGTCGTGTATTTTAAACTGCCGCCCCCCCCCCCCCCCCCCCCCCCCCCTTGCCAATGCCATCCGTGCCGGATCGTCCTGTTCTTGAGTGAGGCAGCTACTGACCTGGGCCATCTTATAATTCTTACCGGTGGCGTTAAAAGTTGCCGTGTTTGTCCGTTGCGTGGTAATGAAACCTTACTAAACTGGCCGTGTCGAGTGGTGGCGGTGGGTTTAACGACACATTGATATTTATGCGCTCTTACCCAAAAGACCTCTATTATGGATCATATTGGTCGCAAAAATCTACGACATGTTAAAATAACAATAACTTAAATCCCCCTCTGCAGACAATGCGTTGACATGGAGTTCCCCCCTCCTCCGGTGTTGTGAGACATTCTTCTTAACAGCAGTGCGGTGGTAACCCTAGTACCACCGCTGTGCCGTGCTTGCCACCGCTCTGATGGATGGCGCGGAGACGGCGCCGGCGTTGCCACCGCTGTGGTCGGTAGCGCGGATGCGGCGCCGGCGTTGCCACCGCCGTGGTCGGTAACGGGGAGGCAGTGCCGGCGTTGCCACCGCTGTGGTCGGTAGCGCGGACTCTTGGGCCTTCCGGCGTGAGCCCTGCTGGATCGTGCTCGGGGCGACGTCGTGGACGTCTGCGATGTTACTCGCGTGCTCTCGGTCATCATTAGTTTATATTTTCGCTTACGTCACGGCGAGTGACGCACCTGAGCGGTCTCATCGCGTCCCCCGTGGATGCAGGTACGGGGCCGCAGGGGAGCGTGGGGGGGGGGGGGGTCATTATTCCGGGAAGGACCCAGCTGGTAATGAGTACCCCCAGCAAAGGCCTGCGTGTGTCGTTAACCCCCAGCAACAGCCCCATACCAGCACGATGAAGCTTTCACACTGACGCACGGTAAACCGCACACACGGCAACCGGACAGCAGCAACAACACTTGAGTGATGACGGTGACGTCACCACAGCGCCTGCGCCAGGCTAGGTGCACCTTGAGGCTGTTGCTTGGAAGTGTGCAAGACCCGCTGCTGGCAGTAGGTCACAGGACAGACTCCCCCAGGGTGTTACAGGTCGACTGGCAGATGACACGCACACCACACACTAACCCACACACGCCTCGGACACTCAATCACTCGCTGCACACACCGCACACTCCCTACACACACCAAAAAGACAAAGGCAAAGATGCCCTGTATAGCCTTTAACAGACTGTAGGGGCAAGTGCTGTTAGAGAGCACTTATGAAGGTCAGCACGGCACACGAGGGGGTGGGTAGCAAGCACCACGCCCGGCCGCCTTTGTCTCCCTAGTGGTGATGTTTACACACCGCACCAGGTACTCATTTGGCCGAGGACTGGTTCAGATAATCGTCACCGGTTTTGATGGCTGTGAGCGGGAATCAATCTCAGATTGGCTGGGTTTGTAGTGCATTGCACGAACCGTTGCACCATGCGCACAAACCCACACACCTCATACACACACACACCAACCCACACACCTCACAAACACATACACACCAACCCACACACCTCATACACACACACACCAACCCACACACCTCATACACACACACACCAACCCACACACCTCACACACACACACCAACCCACACACCTCATACACACACACACCAACCCACACACCTCATACACACACACACCAACCCACACACCTCACAAACACACACACACCAACCCATACACCTGACAAACACACACACACCAACCCACACACCTCATACACACACCAACCCATACACCTGACAAACGCACACACGCCAACCCACACACCTCATACACACACACACCAACCCACACACCTCACAAACACACACACACCAACCCATACACCTGACAAACACACACACACCAACCCACACACCTCATACACACACCAACCCATACACCTGACAAACGCACACACGCCAACCCACACACCTCATACACACACACACACACCAACCCACACACCTCACAAACACACACACACCAACCCACACACCTCACACACACACACACCAACCCATACGCCTGACAAACGCACACACGCATACACACTAGCCCAGCCACACACCTCACACACATACACACACCTCGCACACATACACACTAGCCCAGCCACACACCTCACACACAAACACACCAACCCACCTTACACACTGCACTACCTTAGCCACACACCTCACACACACACCTACCCACACACACCTCGCACACACACACCAACCCACGCACCTCACAAACACCAACCCACACATCTCACAAATACATACAAACACACCAACTCGTATCACACACACACCAACCCACACACCTCACAAACACACACACACCAACCCACACACCAACCCACACACCTCACAAACACACACACACCAAGTCACACACCTCACTATCACACACACCAACTCACACACCTCACTATCACACACACCAACTCACACACCTCACACTCACCGTAGCCCAGCCACACCCACCCAGCCGTCTCATGTTGTCACCTCCGCGCAATGCCCCGGCGGCGGTCCCCCTTGCTAAGCATCACACGCCCGGGACCGCTGCCCCCCCCCCGTGCCCCTCCCCGTGTTTATCTGCGTCGCGGCTATTACTCGACTTGAATTTACGGAGCGAGTTAAACTTGTCTCCCCCAGTAAACCTGTCTCCCCCAGTAAACCTGTCTTCCCCTAGTAAACCTGTCTCCCCCCACTAAACCTGTCTCCCCCAGTAAACCTGTCTCCCCCCAGTAAACCTGTCTCCCCCAGTAAACCTGTCTCCCCCAGTAAACCTGTCTCCCCCAGTAAACCTGTCTCCCCCAGTAAACCTGTCTCCCCCCAGTAAACCTGTCTCCCAGTAAACCTGTCTCCCCCCAGTAAACCTGTCTCCCCCAGTAAACCTGTCTCCCCCCAGTAAACCTGTCTCCCCCAGTAAACCTGTCTCCCCCCAGTAGACCTGTCTCCCCCCAGTAGACCTGTCTCCCCCCAGTAAACCTGTCTCCCCCCAGTAAACCTGTCTCCCCCCAGTAAACCTGTCTCCCCCCAGTAAACCTGTCTCCCCCCAGTAAACCTGTCTCCCCCCAGTAAACCTGTCTCCCCCCCAGTAACCCTGTCTCCACTCAGTAAACCTGTCTCCCCAGTAAACCTGTCTCCCCCCAGTAAACCTGTCTCTCCCCAGTAAACCTGTCTCTCCCCAGTAAACCTGTCTCTCCCCAGTAAACCTGTCTCCCCCCAGTAAACCTGTCTCCCCCCAGTAAACCTGTCTCTCCCCAGTAAACCTGTCTCTCCCCAGTAAACCTGTCTCCCCCCAGTAAACCTGTCTCTCCCCAGTAAACCTGTCTCCCCCCAGTAAACCTGTCTCCCCAGTAAACCTGTCTCTCCCCAGTAAACCTGTCTCTCCCCAGTAAACCTGTCTCTCCCCAGTAAACCTGTCTCTCCCCAGTAAACCTGTCTCCCCCCAGTAAACCTGTCTCCCCCCAGTAAACCTGTCTCCCCCCAGTAAACCTGTCTCCCCCCAGTAAACCTGTCTCCCCCCAGTAAACCTGTCTCTCCCCAGTAAACCTGTCTCTCCCCAGTAAACCTGTCTCCCCCAGTAAACCTGTCTCTCCCCAGTAAACCTGTCTCACCCCAGTAGACCTGTCTCTCCCCAGTAAATCTGTCTCTCCCCAGTAAACCTGTCTCTCCCCAGTAAACCTGTCTCTCCCCAGTAAACCTGTCTCCCCCCAGTAAACCTGTCTCTCCCCAGTAAATCTGTCTCTCCCCAGTAAACCTGTCTCTCCCCAGTAAACCTGTCTCCCCCAGTAAACCTGTCTCTCCCCAGTAAACCTGTCTCTCCCCAGTAAACCTGTCTCTCCCCAGTAAACCTGTCTCTCCCCAGTAAACCTGTCTCTCCCCAGTAAACCTGTCTCTCCCCAGTAAATCTGTCTCTCCCCAGTAAACCTGTCTCTCCCCAGTAAACCTGTCTCCCCCAGTAAACCTGTCTCTCCCCAGTAAACCTGTCTCTCCCCAGTAAACCTGTCTCTCCCCAGTAAACCTGTCTCTCCCCAGTAAACCTGTCTCTCCCCAGTAAACCTGTCTCCCCCCAGTAAACCTGTCTCCACTCAGTAAACCTGTCTCCACTCAGTAAACCTGTCTCCCCCCAGTAAACCTGTCTCCCCCCAGTAAACCTGTCTCCCCCCAGTAAACCTGTCTCCACTCAGTAAACCTGTCTCCCCCAGTAAACCTGTCTCCCAGTAAACCTGTCTCCCAGTAAACCTGTCTCCCCCAGTAAACCTGTCTCCCAGTAAACCTGTCTCCCAGTAAACCTGTCTCTCCCCAGTAAACCTGTCTCCCCCCAGTAAACCTGTCTCCCAGTAAACCTGTCTCCCCAGTAAACCTGTCTCCACTCAGTAAACCTGTCTCCCCCAGTAAACCTGTCTCCCAGTAAACCTGTCTCCCAGTAAACCTGTCTCCCCCAGTAAACCTGTCTCCCAGTAAACCTGTCTCCCAGTAAACCTGTCTCTCCCCAGTAAACCTGTCTCTCCCCAGTAAACCTGTCTCCCCCCAGTAAACCTGTCTCCACTCAGTAAACCTGTCTCCACTCAGTAAACCTGTCTCCCCCCAGTAAACCTGTCTCCCCCCAGTAAACCTGTCTCCCCCCAGTAAACCTGTCTCCCCCAGTAAACCTGTCTCCCCCAGTAAACCTGTCTCCACTCAGTAAACCTGTCTCCCCCCAGTAAACCTGTCTCCCCCCAGTAAACCTGTCTCCCCCAATTTCGATTTAAAGCTTTCGTGACTGCAAGGATTCATCTTCTTTGG